GACGGAAGCAGAGCCCTATGGCCCCCTCAGCTCAGGGGAGGGGTTCCCCTCTTTCCCTGCCGAGTCCTCAGACTTCTAGGCGGTGCTTGTCGTTCTCCATCCAGATTCATGGGCCCTCGGCCCTGTTTCAGAGAGAATTAAATATAAAACTACCTTCTGAAGAGTTTGGAGGGATCCATCCAGGTTGCTAGTATATGTGTTTTTAAGCACATTTTAAGAGAATGAAGCAATGTTTTCAAAGATCTCTAAAGTGGGTTTACCCCAGACGGAAACAATCTATTTGGAATGCTTGTCCAGGTTATTGAAGTTACCCACAGGGAAAAGGACATTCTAGTAACCACATGCTGTTGGGGACTTTGATCTCTCTCAGCTGCCACAAGCCTCCCGAGCTCAAAGGGCGGCAAAGATGAAGTACAGCACTTGGGGAGGGGTGGTGCTCTCCCTCCCTGACCTGGTGAGGTAGACTTGGGGGTGGGGATGACTCGGATGATTCTGAAAGAAATTAAACAAACTGAGTAACCTTTTTCCTTTGGACAACTACTCTCCCAGGGCTCCTCTTAGCTGCTTCCACACAGACAGGGCTCCTTTCCAAGCCCTGAGGCCTCTTGTCCAAGCCAGCTTTGCATCTCTCCAGACCCTCATGTAATCCCACTGCTCATTTTATGCCCTTTCCTCTGCCCCCCAATTTTCTCTGCGTTCAGAATTTACAGCAGGTGGTGGAGGGGTTGGCAACTTAGGAACCTTTAGGTCTCCACAGATCACCTGTGAAAACTGCCATGATGTTGGAAGGGCCCTTGAGGAAATGTGTCCCAGATGAGATGGGCTTGGTCAGGACTCTGGACCAAGAGTTTGAGACTGTGTGCCTGAACACCCAGCACAGCCTGTAAATATGAAACAGCCTGTAGCTATGCCCCCCGTGTCTGTTATCCGAGTCTCTGTTGGCATCAAGGAGAGATGGAAGGCAACCTTAACGCAAGGACTATTACACAGCAGTAGAATTTGTGGGAACAGAGCAAACAGGACCAGTATTGATGACTTTCATCTTGGCTGTGGATTATGTATTTTACATCACAAAGCTGCGGAGTTGTGGAACTTGGTCTCCAACCAACAGACACCACATTTCCAGCAACCCTACTGCTTACCAAAGGATTGCCACCACCTGGCTGGGTCAGCTATACTTGTCTTCTTTAATCTAATGGTTATGCTGCCTCCCAGTGGCTGCCCTGAGTAATTACACATTTCCCCGGCTTGAGATCTCATTCCTGATTTTTAAAGGTGATATTCAAAGGTCTCAACTCTGGGAATCATTTCCTTATTGCTTCTATTTCATTCACATCAGACATAACAGAAATCTTCAGCAAAGACAACGGTAATTAGAGGAAAGATGAATGCGTTACTTTCCAGCAAATAGCTATTATTGAGTTGACATCTGAGGGCTTAACCACAATTATTGGGATGATCCAGATTTTATTTTACTCCCTAATCCCCAGATCTGATTTTAACGTGGACAATCCAGTAAGCATCTTTATTTGAACCAGGTCCTATAGACTAGGTATCTGAAATCCTCCTCTCCCTACTCCTCCCCCCGGAAGGAGGCTTTCTGCTTATGATGGGCACTTTGACCAAGGGTCCCCTGGAACATACAGTTGTTTAAATTTGCATTTCTCCAGGAAGGCTCTAATAGCTAGAGCGAGTTTGAAAAAAATGCCTTTCAAGTTATATTTCACATCTGTGCATTACAGACCTGACTCAAGAACCATTAAGTAGTGAAAAGTAATTAGGTTGATTTATTCCTTTTCTTAGTGTTTAGGCAAGCCACATCTCCTCTCAGACACTGTTTTCTCATCCACAAATTGAGGGTCATACCTATTATCCTTGTCTCTGGATATTGTTGTAAGAATTAAGTGAGATGAGATGAGAAAGTCTTTTGCCCACTGTAGAGCTCTTTGCAACTGTTATAAGAATGCTGACCTGCCGATCTCTCATTTCTAGCTCCAGTATTACTGAGAAAGATCCAAGCCGAGATGTTTCCTGACCACTCTGGAGATGTAAGATTAAGCTGCCAGTTTGCAGAAATTCATGAAGATTCTACCATCTGGTGGACAAAAGATTCAAAGTCAATTGCCCAAGTGCAGAGAAGGTGCGGTATTTGCTCTTGGATCCTTTTCATAGTTGCTGCTTATATCACAACATAGTTCTAAAATACAATAATAATATGATGAAATAATACATTATAGGAAGTAAAAAGGGAAATTGGAGTAAAAAATCCACACCTAAAGTATCCAAGAGATGTAAGTAATGGAAGACAGGTGTCTAGACAGGGAAAACGGTGGTGGGTTCTTGGCCTGGCTCTTCCACCATTGAGTTCCATGGCCTTAGGAAATCATGAAACCTTTCATTACATTTAAAAGTGTAATTTAAATTTTTTAATTAAAATTTTAAATTCTAGTTTTTAGAATCATTACATTTAGGGAACCACATCAAATTATCTCCTAGTCTAAGGCTCTGTGATCTGAAGATTTAAGAGCTGTCTTCTGTATGTTTGTGAATTTTGCTGTTGTCTGTTTCACAAATTCCCATTAACCTGACAAAGGTCAAACAAAGTGAAGAAGGTGAAGCAAACGGAAAAGACAATCCACGCAGTTGCAGAAAAGTAGCTGCGCTTGAGGGATCTTTGCTGTTTATAAGTGACTCATGGCTGAGAGCTCTTTCAAATAGCGTCTTCCCTAGTGAATACCTTCCTTCCATCCAGCCATCCAGCCATCCATCCAACTGCCCGTCCACCAGCCAACATTAGACTGTTCTGAAGATGACATGAAATAGACCTTTAAGTGATTAGCACAATACCTGGTACATACCAAGTGCTCAATACACATTAGCTATTATCTTCCTCCTCACCATCTTCACGAGTTTTTCTTCTCCCTTATTTTATCGGGGTTTATATTTGGGTTTAAAGTTTTCAGGTTTCCTTCGAGCACAAGTCATATGGATTAGTAACATAACTGAGGTGAATTCTGATCTGAAGTTCTGATGAGCTCCCAGCATTCAGAATTCTAGTTCTTTGCTTTATTAATAATAGCCCACCCCCCATATGTTTCTGTGCATTAGTATTGCATATGGGAGTCAAAGAGTTAAACCAAAGTTGTACTGATCATCCCCTACAGGTGAATAAATGATTTAAATGGCATATCACGATCTTGTCCTTCAGCCAGCTCATAGGCTGAAAACATTAGGCCTGAGAAACATTAGTTCCTATTGCATTAAGTGTATCAGAAAATGCAACCTCAGAGTGATGACAGGTGCCAATGTTAATGTGCCCCACTTCAGTGCAGGAGACAACTCCATTGTGTCCTTGACCATCGTCCAAGCCAGTCAGAAGGACCAGGGCCTCTATTACTGCTGCATCAAGAACAGTTATGGAAAAGTGACAGCTGAATTTAACCTCACCACTGAAGGTAAACCTCAGCTTTTCAGGTTCAAATAAATGAGAACCGCTAGCATCTACCAGTTAAGAGTGTTCATTTGTACTGAAGGCATTCTGTTCTGTATCTTCTTCCAGTTCTCAAACAACTTTCCAGTCACCAGAACATTACAGGTAAGCTGATCTGAGTGGGATGTCAGGGTAGCGGGCCTACCATAAAGCATGAAGTAGCTCCTGGAGTCAATGGTAGAGGCATATTCCTATGGACCCTTCTAACCACGCAACAGAGAACTCAGGAATGACTGAGAAAATGAATGAAAATCCATGAGCCATTTCAACCTGGTGTAAGGCCAATGATAAGTTCTCTGGGTTACAAATATCCAGAAGTGTATCATTTATGACAAGAGATCAGATTGTAGGGGGTGGTTGCTGGGAACATGTGGAGGGGGAGTTTGGGGTTAGACTTTTCCCTTAAGCATCAGACTAGAGGTCAGCCATCTGCACGGGGTTGTTCAGCCTCTGGCACTAGGTCACACGTTTTGTTGCTTTAATTTAGTTTCACTTTGACTAGCTGAGCAGATTCAAAGGGAGCCAGGTGTCTAGGAGAAAACTCCATTCATTTGCATCATAATGAGAATGAAAGATGGGTGGTCGGGCTCTCCTTTGCACTTGTGCACACCTGGTGTAGCCACAGCCCAGCAGCTCTCCTGAACACTCACACTGCCCCTGGGCTACCCACTGAGTACAGTTTGGTGGAGTCCATGCTTGTTGTAATTTTCCCTAATTCCTTTTAGGGAATATTACCCATTCCCACACACGTGCCCACCCCCAGCCCAGTAGTGTGCTGGTAAATTGTTAACAACATGCTTTGTCAGGAGCAGGGGCAGGGGAACCTAAAATATATAGTTTTCCAATTTCTGTCGTGTAAATACTCTCACCATGGCCAATTTTGAGCTAACAGTGTGACATCACGAGAACGTGGAGCCCATAGTCAGCTCTCAGGGAGCAGGTTGAGCACACCTCTCAGTCCCCCTCACCCCATGTTACACGGCTCTTGGCACAATGTAGGACCCTTGGTCACACTTAGGAGAAATAGGAATGAAACTCTGATCATTCAATTGATTTTACATCTTAAAGATTTGCCTCATGTGCTGATTTATAAAGCAAATACCTGAAATCTTTGTGAAAACAAGACAGTAAAGACAATCAAGATACAGTGATATTCAGTACGTAAAAGGCAAGGGGCTGGGATCTTGACTTCAAAATGCTCTAGAAAATATTGTGATATTTATCCAAAACAGCAAACTTAGATACAAACTCTTCGAAAACCCACTCAAATGCTAACTACCCGTCTTTACTATGTACTGTACTTGTGGTATAATTTTAAATTCTTCCCCTGCTTCAGCTCCTAGCTCTCCAAGAGTCAAAATTCACAAGAGAATGCCCTTCCTTCTGACCTTTTGGAAAACAGAATGACCTTTAGAAGAAAGCTGTTTCATCAGCTTCTCAACATTGGTTGGCTGTTACACACTAGATACTTGCTATGATCTCAATATTTTAGGTTTGCAGAAACTCATTTCTCAAGGTCTGTACCAGCCAGGAATGGACCCCAATGGGGATGAGCTGCTGGCCACCTGGTGGAAATAGCGCACCTGTTGTAGCCCTTTGATTCCAACCACAGGTTTTGGTTTAGACCCCAATGACATCACCTTCACCAGCTTCTCCCTGAGACTGTCGGTTCCAGTTTCAGTGACTCATCGGGCTGTGAGCCATACTTGTCCTCTCCCTCTCCTTGCACTTTCTGATGAAGACACTTTGAATGACTGTCACATTATTTTTATTTGGAGGGATATCTCTCAATAAACATGTCACTAATTTAATTCTCTATAGAAAGAACAAATAACATTTTACAAGTTTATTAATTAGAGCAATAAACTAATTAATAAACTAAGAAAACTAAGCTGGGATGTCCTGGCCTGTGTAGCTCAATTGGATGGAGCGTCGTCTTGTACACCACATAGGGACAATGACAAGTGTGACCAATAGAACCTAGAAGGGGAACCGCACTTAACTCCCAACAGAGGCATAGCTCACAGCTGAGATGGGGAGATGGGCACTGAGGAGGATGTAGTGGATGACTAAATTTGAGCTACGTTTTAGGATGCGAAGAGATTGAATTCAGCCAACTTATCTTCAGAGAAGACTTCCTCCAGGACAGCTACTTTGGGGACCGCCTGCGAGGTCAGATCGCCACAGAGGAGCTGCACTTCGGAGAAGGTGTCCACCGAAAAGCCTTCCGCAGCAAAGTGATGCAGGGCCTCATGCCCGTCTTCCAGCCCGGCCACGCCTGCGTGCTCAAGGTGCACAATGCCGTTGCCTATGGGACCAAAAACAACGATGAGCTCGTCCAGAGGAACTACAACCTCGCTGCCCAGGTGGGTCCACCTGCCCTAATGGTGTCACTTAGGTGTGAGAGGGACCCCTAATAATCAGACTCAGAATTGATGGGAGCCTCCAAGAGGGTGTTTTGCTCCCTTGGGCTGTGGTGTCAGGGAACTGCTGGATCAAGGCTGACTGCTGGGAATCATGTCTCATTCCAGGAGTATTTCTTGGCCTCGTGCCAGATGGGACTCAGCCTATGTTTGAAGGCCCCTTCCCATTTCTGACCTGGGCTGAGGTCATTTCCTGGGAAGCCCCATGAGTTCCCTAAGGACTTGAATCTACTTGGACACAAGATGATATGGAAATGGGGGTCCTATGCTATACTGGACACCAGGATCCCCAAAGACAGCTAAAATTAGGAGTTGTTCCTAATGTTTTGTTTTAGATGGAGGTGGGATATATTTAGAAGGATAGGGCAAAGTCGGTTGTCCTGTTTCCTGCCTTCCTAAGTTTGGTTTAATGTCAGCCCATAAGCTATGAAGGGAGAGCGACCCGAGTCTCTAGCTGAGTCTCCTCCTCTCCATGCTTGAGAGTCACAGAGCTCCTGTTAGTTTCTCTCCTTGCCTCCCCCTCCCACTTTGGTCCATGTATTTCACTCTTGACACCAACTGGCCAAGCCTCTGGTAGTGCTGGGTCTAGCACATCTACAAACTAGAAGCCCTTTAAAAAGTTTAACCTTCAAAATGATTAGATTAGACTTAGATCAATGTTTTGGGTGCTGTCAAGCACTAACCATCCATGATTCTCTCAGATGTGGCTCTGTCATGTGGGACTTGGTGCTCATGAAGGGCAGCCCCTCTTCTGTGGGGATAGGATTTTGCCAATAGTATTTAATTCTCCAAACCCACCCTTCTTTCTTCTTTTCTTTCACTGAGCATTCCTTCCAACTTAGCGGTCATCTCACCCCGTTACGGAAAATGCCCCAGCACCCAGACTCCCACTCAGAAATGCCATTCGGAGTGCAAAGCAGAATCCAATATGCTTTTCCTACGCCAACAATCTTGTCAAGGTGTTCACTTTTTACAACTCCAATTATACCTTTGAAGAGGAACTTCAGATGGGGGAGCTCATGGGAAACCAAACAGCAAGACCCAAGGTTTATCTGACATCCTTCCAAGGGGCCAGTCCTCTTAGTTCAAGGATGGACTTCAGCCTTGCAGTTTATAAGTTTTACTAGAGGCCCAGTGCATGAAATTCATGCATGGGTAGGGTCCCTAGGCCTGGCTGGAGATCAGGGCCAATTTATGGGGCAACCAGCAGGGCAATCAGGGGGCCCCTGCTGGCACCCACCTTAGCCAGCTTGGTGCCACCCACTCGCTGGCCCTGCCCCCTACCACCGCCGCCAGTTGCCTCCCTCTGTGGGGTGACCAGTGGGGCAATCGGGGGACTCGCACCTGTCTTGGCTGGCATGGGGCCTGTGGGCTGGGGGCAGCTCCTGCGTTGAGCGTCTGCCCCCTGGTGGTCAGTGTGTATCATAGCGACCGGTCGTTCCGCCAGTCACTCCACTGTTTGGTTGATTTGCATGTTAGGCTTTTATTATATAGGATAACTCAGGGACACCTGGCCCCAGAGACCACGTGACCTTCACCTGGATCATTCCTTCAGGTCTCAGAGCTCCTCTGCCAGCTCTAGGTTGCAATCATTGTTGCTTCTGTGCCCCCAACCAGGGGGTGGGTTTGGGAATCCATTGGCCTGACTACATTAGGAAATCTGATTAGCTTTACCAAGCAACTGTCTGAATTTCCTCTAATCGCTTGGATTTTCCATGTGTTTGGGTGATATAGGAATGCTATGTCCAAAATACTGCCAGACACTATGCCAAGATCTACGCTGCGGAAGCACAGCCTCTGGAAGGCTTTGGAGAAGTGCCAGAGTAAGTGTTTCCTCTCTTGAATTTCCACCTCTGACTTGTTGGGGACTTGGGCGGGGGGACCAGAAGGGACAGAGGATGAGAAGACCAGGAGGACAAGCATTTCAATTGGTCGCTATCTGTAAGCTGTGAGGGCACCCATGGCTGTGATCCTGTTCTTCATTGGGTCACCAGAGGCTTCCAGAAGATACTTGATAAATATTCTTTAAATAAATGTATGTGTGGATGGATGGATGGAGAGATGAATGAATCCAATACATGTATCTATCATGTTAAGTAGAAAAGAAAGGATATGTACTCTCATGAATATTATATTGTCTAAACAATAAACAAATATAAGAGACCATAAGAATATTACAAAATGACTAGTCCCATGAAGAAAATAAAATATGGTGCTGGGTCCAGAAAGAGTGAATTGGGTGATCAGGATTATAGGAACATAATACCCACTTCCTGGAATCCTACAGAGATAAATTAAACTGATTGCTTTTATCCACTCACCGACTGACTATTTGTTCACCCAAGCAAATTTTGGTATCCACTGCTCTGAAGATGGATTGGGACGTTTCAATATCCAAGCCCCCTTTCCTTCCTTACCATGGGAGAATTTGTGAACATGTGAATGGTGATAGTATATGGAGGGCAAAGTCCCTACAAAGGAAAGTGGCGATGGTTGTTTAGGATGGGGAAACGAAAACATGTTCTTGGCTTTGGGGCAGAGAGAGTAAATCAAGAGTAAGAGGATAGTAACTAACAAACAGAAGATAAAACTTGAGACCAGGGATTAGCAAACTTTTCCTGTAAAGGGGCAGATAGGATGTTATGTAGATACTTATGTAACAAATCCTTGTCGATGAATTTTAAAATATAATAACAATTAAATGTAATTTTTGATATTTAGGTTTACTAGTGAGAAGAATGGAATTCTCTTTTTAAGTAAAATTTTGCTTAATTGGGGTTCAGAGTTAGTGTTTCCTATGACCAAATTGATGGGGAATGTTCATCTGTAAAACTCATTCTTAGCTTGTGGACTGGATTTGGCCCATAGGCAACGGCTTGTCAACCCCACTGTCCACATAGTTTCTTCTGCAGTAAGTAATGGGTAAGAGAGGAGAGTTACGTTGGGGCGTGCTGGAATTTCAAGGTTAGGAAGAAATGAGGAACCGGCAAAGGAGACAGACAAGAAGTAGCTGGGGAAGCAGGAGGAAACCAAGATGAAGTGAGTTTCTGGAAGGCATGGGAAGGTGTTTCAAAAAGAAGTGAGTCAAGTGCCACTGAGAGCAAGTAAGATGAGGGCAAGTAAGTGACCATTAGACTCAGCAACATGGTGCTCCTGGGGCCCATGACTGAAGCTTCTTCAGTGGGAAAGCCTCTTTGAGTGGGTTCAAGAGACATGGAGGGGGAGGGACTGGAGACAGTGCATCCAAAATGGATTTGAGCTTTGATGTAAGCTCTGAGTCAGTAGTTGTAGACCGTGGGGCCTACATGCTCTGTAGAGATTCTGCAGCATGTTGCTATGCCATTGAGAGTGATGCTGTCGAACAATATCCTTGAGCATTTGAGAGAGGTTGGGATCTAGGCACCAGAGGGAGAGATGCTTCACGCAGGAGCAAGAGGGCTCATGCCTAAGAGGGGCGGGGCAGCAGAGGATATGGGTGCAGACCTTGGGAAATGGGAATATGTGGGGTGGCAACTTCAGATGTTCTGTTCTTATTGATTGAGGTTTCACAATGGAACAGGAAGTAAGGCCATCAGCTGAGAGTGAGATTGGGGGCGGGGGCGGAGGAGAAGGTGTAGGCGGTTAGAGGTGAGAGGAGCTGGTATGAAATAATCATCCAGGATGGAGTGACAGTAGAAGGACTAGTGCTGGAAGATGAATTCAGGATCTGATCTCTTTCCAATCCCAGCTGTCATCACTCCTGCACAGCCTCCTCTCTGGTTTCCCTGTTTCTGCCCTTGTCCTTACACAGTCCATTTCACACAGAGTGGCAGAGTGATCCCTGTAACATAGGATCATGTCACTCCTCTGCCCAAAACTCTTCAATGGTACAAAGAGCAGAGTTTTTTAAATGGCCAACCAGACCCCGCAAGGGGTCCTCACTCATCTACCACAGCCTCCCTCCCTGTTCACTGCACTGCAGCCACACTGGCTCCTCACTATTCTTTGAACACATCAGGAATGCTCCCACCCCAGAGCCTTTTCCATTTGTTGTTCCTTCTACCTGGAAGGTTCTTTCCATGGATATCCTCATGCCCCTCCACCCCCACTTCCTGCAGATCTCTGCTCACATGTCCTTTATTAGCAAGGCCTTCTCTGACCTCCCTAAATAAAATAGCAGCTCTTCCCCCACCCCTGGATCTCCTAGCTCACCTCCACTGCTTTGTTTTTTCTTCTAGCACATAGCAACATGCATTTACTTACTGTCTCCTCCATTTAAATGTAAGATCCATGAGAGCAGAGCCTGTTTTCTTTGCCGCTGTTTTCTGGAATAGAGTCTCGGAGTATCTGACACCTAGAAGCCACTGAATGAGTATTTGTTGATGTGTGGACTGGAAGGACGGAAGGAAGGAAGGACAGAAAGAAGAAAGGAAGGAAAGGAGGAAGGAAAGGAGGAAGGAAGGGAGGAAGGAAGGGAGGAAGGAAGGTCAGAGGAAGGATGGAAAACTGGATATACGATGGATGGATAGATGGATTCTAGTCCTATGATCAATGGGGCCATTGAGATATGGCTATAGTGAGACATTCATTTCTACCTGAGTAATTAAACTCCATCCCAAGAGGAGTTTCTGACCAACTCTAGGGGCAAATAACAAACAGAAACTCACCCTTTTACTCATTGAATAATCATTGGGGGGGGGGTAGTTAATCTAAATCTCGTGGAACCCAGGCATTTATTCTGTGTGCCCATGTTCTCATCCTTTCCAGGATCATTCCTATTTTTCTCATCCATCGGCCTGAGAACAACATCCCATATGCAACAGTGGAGGAGGAGCTGATTGGAGAATTTGTGAAGTATTCCATCAGGGATGGGAAGGAAATCAACTTCCTGAGGAGAGACTCCGAGGCGGGTCAGAAGTGCTGCACCTTCCAGCACTGGGTGTACCAGAAAACGAGTGGCTGCCTCCTGGTCACTGACATGCAGGGTGAGGAAGCAGCATGATCCGGGCCCGGGGGTGCGGTGGGCCTGGGTGCTGCTGGGGATGGGGAGGGAAGGAGGAGAGGTGTGCTGGGGGCCTTTTAACCCCTCCAGCAGCAGAAGGTATTACTAACATCTCCTCAGAAATAAGGTGGGACAAAGGAGCCTGAAGTGACCAGGCAAATGGAGTCAGACAGCGCATTTTAATAATTCATGCCGATAATGCCTCCCCATTGCAACAGGCAACCAACGATTGGCAGCAGCTCCCAGCTGTCCTATCCTGGTGCTCGCTTCTCCAGCCTTTATTGTTCTATCCTCAACAGGCACAGGTTCAGAAGTATATGTGCAAATCCGGATGTGCCAAAAGTTAAATTCAGATGTAATCATTCATTCTTACTGGGTGAAAGGGTCTCTCGTAGTTACTTTAGGTTTCAAGCTCCCCTGATGAAGCTACAGCATGTCTTCCATTTCTACACACATTTTTGGGAAGGCATTTGTGGTATGAAGTGGGGATGTCATACTTCGTCTTCCCACAGAAGCAGCCCCTAGACAAGTGGCAGTTCGGGGGTCCCTGAGACCACTGTCAGATTCATTAATTTGCTGGAAGGACCCACAGAACTCAGAAAAGCTGTTATACTCATGGTTACGGTTTATTACAGCCAGAGGACACAGACTCGGATCAGCAAAGGGAAGAAGTGCATAGGCAGAGCCCAGGGCCGGCAGGCAGCAGCTCCCAGCTGTTCTATCCTGGCGGAGCCATGTGCCGGAGCTCACTTCTCCAGCCATGGTGCGTGGCAACACGCACGAGAGCTGCCAACCAGGGACGTTCACATGAGCCTTGGTGCTCAGAGGTTTTATTGGGGGTCCATCGAGTAGGCATGGCTGACTGCCCATGAAATTGATCTTAGTCGCTAGCCTCTCCTGAGGTCAAGTGATACCACACGACCCAAGGTACCAGGCAGGACATGCCAAGGGCTTAGAATTGACCCCATAGGAGTTGGATGAGGATTGAACCTTTACTGCAATTATCCAGGAGGGGATCCCGGTATACACGGGTAGGAAAGTGAAGTGTGACAGGGAAAGGGAAGGCAAACAGTTACCACGGTGATCACCTGAAGCTCACGCCTCCCAGGGGAACTCTGGGAGCCTGTGCAGAACACACATGTCAGAATCATCGCACCCAGGGAGTGACCCCCTGTAGTTACCAGCGGAAGGCTGCACCCACACATGGGCAAGCCAAGCTGAGCAAAGCAGGGTCCTGTGATCAGAGAAAGTTCTCAGGCAAAGCAATGCTGGTGGTGGCACCGGAGGTGGGGCCAGTGCGTGGAAGCGGTTAGTGTGAGGGCAGTGGGTGGGCACCGACAGCCCTGCCACAGGGGTTTCCTATTCCTTTTTTGCTTTCCCAATAATCGTGCTAAGAAAAATCCCAACTATAATTGCATGCCTACTCGATGTCAGACACGGTTCTACACAGGATCCTGAGGTCTAGCACCAGCCCTGGTGGTGGAAAGCAAGGCT